TAGAAACACTACAGATAGATAAATAGGCAAAGAACATAATCTCACCCAAGGTCAATGCTTTTTAATAGATAAGTTTTTAATACCTAATGTTTGGGGGAAAAGAAAGTCTACATGTAACCAGTTCCCTTTGTTTTCACTGTGTTTGAATGATGGCTTTACTGTTTGTGTGAAAATAACTCACTACTGGAAATACAAGTGATGGAGAAAGATCCAAAGCAGACATTACAGATAATCTCTCATCAAAGAAAATAAACACCCTGACCATTAGTCAAACCCCATTCTCCAGATGACCACGGATATCTAAACCTCAAAGTACTTCGTGTGCAACATATGGGATGAGTTTAAAATTCTGTCCATTCTGTCTCTTATAGTCGCTAATGCAGCAGGAGGTGGTGAGTTTGGTTGTTTTACAGCTCCTTTGGCTCTGTTTTTCACATCTCATTTCATTTCATCAAGTTTTTTAGTTCTTGTTCACTGTTAATTTCCACGTAAGGTTATTTCTTGAGCACTCATCTGGCATTTTCATGCTTTTGTGTAAGTTGCATATGTGTGAGTATTTGCACACGGTCAGCCTATTAGTGGTTTTCTGTGGGATGATCCACAGTCACCAAGGTGCTTTACCTTCCCTCTTGTGTTATCCTGGGCTGGCCTGCCGAGGCTCTGCTTTCTCTGATATCATGCAAAGCTTTCCTGGTTCTTTTGCCTATGTGTGTAAAATCGATGTGTCTTTCCACTTTGAATGCCAGGTGGATGTTTCAGTATTGAATTCTACTTAGTTTTAATAAAAGCTTAGAGGGAATCTGATAGTGCATTTATTGGTGGGTTCAGTTTTCACCTTTCTCTGTTAAGCTTTTGCTAACAGACCTGTAACAAGAGGATTTGCTCACTTTGTCAGGCCATGTCTAACCACCAAGATGGCACCCTTGGGCTGCAGAGCCTTCCTTCACAGTTACATCCCTGAGCCGGATTCCTCCTGAGTCAGCCGGGTGGGGGTGGGGACGGGTGTGCACTGCTCTTCTTTAGTTTCTGCTCAGCACAGGGAAGCCTCGACAGAGTGTCAGGTCCTGACACAACAAAGAGAGGCTATGAGGGAAGTCTTTTGTCCCATGACTGCAATCTAGCCTTTTCTCTCTCTTAGGTGTAATTTTTCTTGTCTTATTGTTTCCCTTTGCCATTCAATCAACAGTATTAAAAAGGCACTCCCTAGACACCTCTAGTCTCCACCATGATCTGCATCAGCCCCCACAGACCTAAATTCTCCAGGGAGGTCCACAATTCTCCCTTGGCTAACCACTGACTTCCAATTCTGCTCGTGGTGGGACCAGGGTTACACCAGGTATCATGGACATAAAAACATGAACTGGGGACTCTAAAGAGGATTCTTGGGGTTTTGCCAGCACTTTCTTTCCCCAGCACCATTTCAGCAAGGTGAGGAGCACATTTAGTGTTCAATGCAGGATCTTTTCTTAGTGTATTAAGCGAAGCTGCTCTTCTCCATTCCTGCTGCTTTCTTGATGTCTGCTAGTGATGTCTATTAGCTTTTATTTCCTCCACTAGTTAGTGAACTTAAGAACACAGAAAAAAACAAAACAACTCTACCTTGTCTACCCAGGAAGCACTAGTCCCTTTCAAATGACGTTCATGGGTGAAAATTGCTGAAGAAACCAGTCAGGATTTCACACATTTCATGTGTGAACATCAGTCCTTTAAATGGCGGTGGCCCCTGGGAGGTAGAATTGAGGAAATGAGGTGCAAATGAAAATGGAGAGGTGAAAATTCCATATATTTTTTCAACTTCCAGTTAGAGAATAGATTAGAAAGAGATCGATTCCTGTAGCACAAAGTATATTTGTGTTTCATTTTAATTAAGGGTTCCATCCTGCCCCCTGCCCTTCCCTCCATTTGATGACTGAAAGTGAACACAAATTAGGTTTTGACTAGCCCATGCATCCTGCAGCTTTGATACTTCTCTTTCTTTTCTTTTCCTAAACGTTTTGTTTCCTTTCCACATCACAGCCCACTGTGCAAATACACAGAGCATAGATTGTGTTCAAGCAGTCCTTATTCTCCAAGTATCTCCCCTAAATGGGAACATTTACATAACTAATTCTCAGATAAAAATGCACACTCTAAAAACGTCATGCCCTTTGAAATCTGGGGAGAAATTACGGAACGAACAATGACAGTGACATGTTTACCATCTACAAAGGCGTTGTTCTTTGGTTACACCCCAATTGATTTTCTCACACCTCTGAGGTAAGTGCTGTCTACAGCTTACCAAACAAAGCTGCCAACTGTGACTGAGTGTTGGTGTGCACTCTGTTGTTTGAAGGAGGACAAGAAAGACTATGGCTTTATTAGATCATAAAAAATATATCACCACACTAAATGTCCCTTGGCTAGACAATTAGCTTGCCATAGGCAGGACAGCCCAGAAGAGTACAAAATGCCTATACACTGTCTAATTTGACAAAATATATCAAAGGGCTTCCTTAACAGGTTATTTTAGTGAGACTGAATTCCAGGGATTCAAAAACTGTAAGATAGCAATACAGAGAAGAAATAAAAATGAATTTAAAAAATACAAAAAAGGAGCCATGCCTCACCAGGAAGGAGGAGCCTTTCCAAAACCCCACCTACCCACCTTCTTCCCTCAACCTGTCACAGCCTACCCTAGTCACTCTGTACTTTGAGTTCAGGGAGAGACATTTGTGATATTTCCTCCTTTGTGTTTCCATCAGTTTTTCACTTCCAATACTGGAATGTTACTGGGGACACAGGACGCTGGGCCTGAAAGTGGTTTTTAAAGAGGACAGAGCCAACCTCTGCCTACAAATCCTCCAAGGAACACATAAATGGACAGAAGAGCTTCTTCACACTGAAATCTTCTACCTCAGGCCCCATAAAAAGGTGTGAGACGCTTTCTCTTCTTGTAAACCAGGGTGATACAAATTATCTGTGCTCCACTTTCCCAAGCTCTTTAACAATAGCTGTTTCTCACTTTGTTTCACTGTGGAGCCCATGGGTTGTAGAACCTCCAGGGTCCAGTAACAGTACCATTGGCATGGCTGAGCAGTTGTTGGTTAATTTCTGAAGATAATCACTTGCATTTGGGCCTGGGATGTTGAAGTATGACTTTGGAGTGGCTCTTTGGTGTGTTCAGAGTTCAGTTAGGGTTGGAGGAGATTTCAGAAAGAAATATTCAGAAATTACCCTACTTTATTACATACCAAAAATATAAATTATGTCTATTGGAGGAAAGGAGGGTGAGTACACAAAAGGGCCTTGAGAAGAGACCAACGAAAACAGAAGGGATTCCAGACAGGAACAAGCTCATAATAGAAGGAAAGACAGGTTCCCAAAAAAGAGGGAGGGTATGCTACATTTCCTTTCAACAGGAGTTAGAAAGCCATGGGGCAGGTCTAGGGCAGGGATCCTGAAAGTAAGCAGTTCTGATTCTTGTCTGTGGTTCTGTCCTGACCAGAATCAGAAATGTCAGAAGTATTTGGACACTCTAGTTTCTGGTCTGGTTCATGTCAGTTACTTTCCTCATGGCTGTATCAAAATGCCCAATCAATGCAACTTAAAGAAGTAAGGGTTTATTCTGGCTTATTGCTGGGGCAGTCCATTATGGCCAGAAAGACATGGTGGCAAGAGCATCATGTAACTAATCACACTGTGTCTACAGTCAGAAAGTAGAGGGGCATGAATGCAGCTGCCAAGTTTGCATTCTCCTTTTTATTCAGTACAGGCCGAAGCATAAGGAATGGTACTCCCTATGCAAGGTGGGCATTCCCACCTTAATTAATCTAGATTCCTCACAGAAAGGGGCATGGTGTGGAGGGAGGTGTGGGCGGGACTTGGAGGGTTTTCCTGAAGGAAGGCTCCTGACTCCAGTCAGTCCCCATTCTCCAGCAAGTGGTCACCAGTAGACAACTTTAAGGACCCTCTCATGGACATGTGTGCCCATATACCAGACAGTATGGAATTAGCTTAGGGGACACTCATACTCAAAGGGTGAAATTATTCACAGCATCACTATACCAGTAGGCAATTAGTCATCATTATATATGGAGAGAATCAGTGTGATAGACCATTGTGGCCAGCAGTGCCTCTCTGCACAAGACTCTGGAGGTCTGTGCTTTGTATGTACTCTAAGGAGAGTATGTATTTCTTGCTTGGTGTTGCTTTTGTTGGTTGTAGTTCCATTTCTGTGTATGTTATTACCCTTTCTTTCTCTTGGACAATACTTGATAATTGTTCTTTATTCTATGTAGTTTTGTATTAGGTTTAGAACCTTTACACAAAAAAGGGAAGTGTTGTGGGAATTCATTCTGCCAATAGCTTTGGTGTACCAGCCTTAGGGTGGGCTTCTTGTCTGTGGACATGATCTCTTAAAAGGAGAGAGTCAGAAGTTGTGCATTCTTTTGGGTTGTGGAGACCAGGTCAGGTGGCTGGTTCCCAGCTCCCTTGGGCAGAAAGGAAGGACTTTTGCAACTGGTTATACCTTGTCCTACATACTGTATCTGAATACAGAGTGTCTCTCAAAGGTACAGACCACATTCCTTAATTCTCACCACAATCCAGGGAAGCAGACATTTCTGTCACCTCCATATCACATATCAGGCTTTTGAAGGTGTATGAGGCTACACAGACTTAGGATTTGAACCTCTTTTTTAAAGCCCCAGCTATGTTTTTCAAGACAGCCAAGGAAGGGCTGAAGTTCCCTAGGGATCTGAACCAGGTCTAATTGGTTAGTGACTTCACTTCAGCAACGAATCAAGACACAAGGAGCATGTTTCAAAGACTGAGGAGAAATTGGACCCCTCTAAAGTTCTGCCAGGTAAGGCAATCTGTGTTTGGATCACAGACCCATAATTATGACCATCCACATACATCTTTTTCAGATATGCATAAATTGGGGGAGTGTGTGGAGTGTTGTGGAACTAAGTGTATTTGTATGTGTTCAACATACTGTATAATTGACTCAATTATCCACGTGGGGATTATTCACTTTTAATTTGCAATCTGGCTTCTCTCAGTTACAGTGTTGTTTCGTTGCTCCAGAAATGCCAACTAATTTAAATAATAATTTCAGCAAAACATAATTAGGAAGGAAAATTAAATTCGATCTTTTGCCAGCTCTTGAACAGTCTACTATTGGAGTGTAACTCTAACCCATGTGCTTTTCCAATGCCTTTTCATGCTCACGGGATTTGATTATGATTAGTGCAGTAAGTTCCTGTGTAGTTGTCCCTTTATCTCTTTCCAATCAGATCATCATTCTGACCATAATCTTAAAAACAAACACTCAAACCCTTAAACCTTAATGGCTACCCATTTTTCCGCAGATAAATGCACAGGCCAAAGTCCCTCACCAAAGCTGCTTCTAGCTTAACTTCCGGACTGTCTTTAACATGCCAGTCAAATCGCTCTTCTAATTCTCAGCCTTTGCTCATTCTGTCTTCTGCTGAAACACCCTCCTCATCTCTGCAGGCTCAGGAAGCTTCTCATATTTTCCAGCTCTACTCTGCTACCCCCACCCCTTAACATCCTTCTCCAGTTTCTTCTGAGGTAGATAAGGGTTTTTGTGAAAATGCATTGTCTCCTTACTCTCTCGTGAGAAATTTAACTATACATTTCCTGGTGATTTTGTCTTTCTTCTATGCTATGCTGGACCCCAAAAAAGAGTCCCAACAAATACGTGTCCATTTTAATTGCTAACAATTTATCTGTTTGAGCCCCCAGTGCCTAGTCCAATGCTTGGCACTCAATGGACAGTATACACTAGGTACTCAATGAATCCACTGTAGAAGGAATTGGACCAAGATGTCCAACGCCAGAACTGCGTTCTACAGAGAACTCCGGGGATGCAGACACAGGAGGGTCAATAGCAGAGTTGGGAGCATAACCTCTATTGACAGGGCATGCATGCTCCTTGGCCCGTTTCTCCATCCGTAGATGCCTCGGAGGTTGCTTAAACCCTCCACTAAACCTGAGGAAAAAAAAAAAAAGTACATTGCTACATATACTACGTCTGTGTATGCACAGCCATGTATACTCGTGCGTAAAATGCACGCATATACACATACGGCTAGCCAGGGATGCAGATATATAATTAAAAATAAATATACATGTACAGCCCGGATTCCGAAACGGTCAGCATGCTAGAAATGATGACCATGACCTTCCTTTCCTTTTGGGGACCATGCACAAGCCTCTTGGAGTCCTGCTCCCAGCCC